GCCGAACGTAAACGGCGGACCACCGAGAAGAGAAAGAGACAAACGGAAAAAGAAACGAGGAGAAACTCCAAAAGCATTAAAAAAAAAAAAAAAAAAAGCATAAAAAGGAAAGAAAGAGTGACAACCGTCGCAAATTTTGTGTTTCTGGAAGAAAAAGCAGCAGCAGAAAGCCAATCTGCGTTTCTGGCCTGTTCGTAATCTACGGTGCACAACGGAGAATGCAGGAACTATAAAGCGGAACCTCACCACAGATCGATCGTTGCCACGCACACTGAGATTATGCTCCTCTCCTCTATGTAGGTCATTTTGAAAACCGGAACCTGCCCCTCATTGGCAGCAGATACATCCAGAGAAGTCGCAGCGCAAGTATGCTGTCAGGGAGTCTGGATCGATGCGCGCAGGCGTGAGAAGAACGGCTGCAATGAAAACAGGCCGCAGATGGCTGCTAGGCCGGGATGCCACTTACGACGGGCTATTCGCTGCTGGCCGTAGATTGAAGAGTTTAACCACCACGAACGGAGGATTCACATAGGTGGGGGCTCAGGCCCGGTAGCTGCAAGCCGGGAAAACCGGGCTTGCCTCCCCTGCCCACATAAGAAAACTAAAAAAAAACGCGAAAGAACAGAGCAGACAAGCTGCAGGCACTGCTGGCAACCTCTGACAAGAAAAAAAAAAAAAAAAAAAAGGGGCAACCCGGCGGGCGCTACCGTAGCGCCCGTAACAGAAATGAGGACAAAACAAAGAAAAGAAAAAAACGAAAAAAATAAATAAATAATTTCCACATAGGCAACTGAGGGTTTGAGGGGTCGACGAGATCACTTCGAAGCCAAATATAATAAAAAATATAATAAAAACGTCTGGGATGCACCTTGGGCCGTTCTACAGCAATGTGCATTCGCCTTGTGGTGGAATTGGAATGGCGATGTGTGTAATTGAGGGGTAGTGGAACGACGCAGTAACTCATCTCCCGCCTTCGCTACTCCCCTCCTTGGCGTTCCCATGTCCCTCCATTCTATTTGTGGGGAGCAGCATATGCTGGGAACCGGGCCCAGTGTCCCTTATACACCAAATTGAGGTTTGGGGCCGGGGTCCCCTGACATTTTTGTTGATTCATACTCTCAGGCTAGGACTTTTGGATGCATCCGGCCACATTTGCAATTCCATACATCCCGGCAAGTCCAAGTGCGAGTTTGCCGCGCTACCTAAGTCCAGCTGGTCCGCACATCGACACCCGTCAAGCACGTGCGCCGCGAACGGCGGCGCCAAGGTGCAGCTGCCGACGCGCTGGCTCCCGTAGTTCCCCTCCGCCGGGCCCCGCCCGTGAAGAGATCAGGCCTCGAAATTGGAAGTGCACCTTCACACAGAATATGGCAAGACACTTCAGCCAGTATTTCCCCCCAAAAAAAACAAAAAACTTCAGCCACTATTCCGAGACGCACTCTCCAATTTCACATTTCGCGAGCAGTGCGACCAGGCCCGAGGCTAAAGTCCTGGATGCCCAGATTCTTCGGGCCTCGCTACACTACTTCCAAAATGTGCAAAATGAGAATGCATCTTCGGCTATAACCTAGGAAGATGCACCGCGGTAATTTTTTTATTTTTTTTATTTTTTTCAAAGTCGCGGTAATTTTTGTCTTTTCTGCATGTGGACAGTAGTGGAGCGACGCCCTTCCTCTTGACCCGGGGTTAGGTCCCACTTGCACTAATTAAGAGAGACTGACCGTAGATAGCAAAGATCAACGGCCGAAATCTCCTAATTTGCGCAAGTGGGACCTTGCCCCCGTATTTACGAAACATCGACGGCCGGGAACGAAGAATCCGTCCCTTCAACCCGTTAGCTTTTTTCCCCATCAGCCCCTTAGGACCTAGTTGCACTACTGACCATCCCCCAAAATTTTGAATGAATCTCAACAGGCGATCTGTCCCGATTCATTCACACACAATCTTAGGCCTCGATATTGCAGCCTGCGAAACCGACACGTCGGAGGGAGGATCAGTGAACATGAAACGAACAAGAAAACGACGCGACACGTCGGAGACGTCAGAGGGGCAAGAGACATTCAAGCAGGTCCACTTGGCACCGCGCATACCACTACTCATCTCATCCACACTCATTTCCCCATGCCACGCGTCCGTCGGCGCATTCGATCCCGACCCTGGCGGGTCAGCGAGGATACCCCGAAGAGGGGCGGTATCCTGAACCTGGTAGCTCATCGGAATGGGATACTAAATGTGTAGAAGGAGCGAGGCGTTGACAGACAAAGAGCCGGGCAGCACTGTCAAAAAGTAATCTGAAAAACGATCTCCACGGTGCACGCGCAAGCGCGCGCGCGCGAGAGAGAGAGAGAGAGAGTTATGGTGGCAAAAACAGCACCGGAAGAAATGTGGGTATCCGCAACTCAAGCGGAAATTTCTAACCAAGAACAGAAAACATATAGGCACATACAGTAATATGAGACTGTCATCAAAAAAGGAGAAAACGCAGTTAAAACGAAGAGATCTCAACGTATGTCATCATGCGCTTCAAATGAGCATCGCAGAAAGCGGACTACTGAACAAGGATGCGCAATACGTGTGCATCCGTCCAGTCCTACCATTGGACGATCAGAAAGCGCTCTACGTGAGTGAGCATCTCAGAAAGTGGACTGCTGAGAAGGGATCGCAAAATGATTGATTGACAAGCAAGGCACATTTCCTATGATCTCAGAAAGCGGACCCCTGAGTCCATGATCTCCGCCTGCGTCGACCCCAATCTCACCTGCGCAAATCAGCGCAAATCAGCGCAAATCAGCGCGACAGATGTGGCGGATTTCCGCAGCGATCCCTGCCAATCTCTAACCATCCCGAGCCTAGTCGCGCTGCCTACCTCAACTCGATACACCTTTCCCGACTACAGAAACCGCCAGCTAAGGATAGGAACAGCGTAGCGTAGGATCACAACTCCTGCCCGGCCCCACCGGTACCCGCGAGCCATATTGTATCCAACAGGACTCGAACGATGATAAGTTTTTTTTTTTTTTTATAATTTATTTATTTATTTATGGTAAGTTTATCGCAAGGTACTGTTGCGTGCTGTTGAACMWRMGGAAGAATGATTTACTGTACTTAAAAAAAAAAAAAAAAAAAAAAAGGCGAACTGCAAACCGTTTCCYTKTTTTTCTCGATTTGTGTGTGTCATCCGTCAATGTGCAGGGACCATGCCAACCTTCTCTGTGTCATTCCAAATTTAACGGCGATCCCGAAAGCCAACCATTTTCCTCTTAGCTAATATCTGAAAAAAACACTGGTTATCTCGATGCCTTTCTCTTCGTCGATATTTTTCTCTTTCTTTTTTTTGTTTATGCGGCCTCTAAGTCGGTGCAGTGGTGCGACTAAGCGGAAGTAATGGAAACTTCGCAAACCGGATATTAAGTCTCTGTCTATCTGTTCATCGCCGATTGACCGCTGAACGAGGTGAATCCTCCACTATTTGGGGAGCTTACTGCAGTTGGGGTCCATGAAGTTGCCAGCCGTGAAACAACACCCGTCTATATTGCAGGTTGTGCGGGTCTCTCTCTCTCTCTCTCTCTCTCTCTCTCTCTCTCTCTCTCTCTCTCTCTCTCTCTCTCTCTCTCTCTCTCTCTCTCTCTCTCTTACTTATATATCATCCGCCCGGGCACCCGCCCACAGGCGACCGCGCTCACTCACCCGCACGATCTCTCGCCTGAGAGAGAGAGAGAGAGAGAGAGAGAGAGAGGGGTAAAATGGAATTACGAGCAGGTGCGTGGAACCTGGAAGAGAAGAAGGGAGAGAAGGTATCAAATGGAGATGACCGCATTGGAGAGGATGATGGAAGATATCGAATGGAGACGAAAATGGAGGCGAGGTTAAAAATGAGGGTGCAACAATGTTGGGGAGTGTCCTCTTCAAAAGACGATTGCACATCGGTAGAGAGCTTACCTGCCTGGCCTTTGTGTTTCCCTGGGGATAATTGTGGAACAAATGCCCGAATAGCGGACAAGACACTTTCGAGGCTGCTCCACAGCATCCTTGCGTCTATTTGTCCAACCTTGGCTTGTTCCACTTCAACTTCTTCTCCTCTTCTCTTCTCTTCTCCCTCTACCTCCTAACTCTTAGCTGTTCGTTCTGCGGCGGCAATTCTTACATTCGATCGATGGCCAGCTGCCGTTTCCGACGATTCGGACTGCAGTGCCGTGCAGTCGGCTGATCCCGCGGAATAATGCTTGTGGTTGCAATATTCCGTCGAATGGTGAAATCAAAGTTTTGGCAGGAACAAATCGCGCCTCGCCGCCCCACAATGAATTTTGCGCGGGCTTGCATCAATCACCTTTCTTCTTTTTCGTGCGGCCTCAGAAAATTCCCGCCCTTGTGTCCTCCGGGAGATACGTTAAAATTGGAATTGAAACAAACACAGAGATGACTAGCTTCCCGCCCGTGCCTTCAAGGATGGATAACTCCCGCCGCGCATTCAAACAAATGTAAACTCCCGCGATTGTCCCGCCGCTTGGCGAAAACTCCCCGCGCTTGGTGGGCGCCTTGGGTATGCCGGCGTGACACGTGACATGCTGGAGGTGCTGGTGTGCCGTCGGGCAAGAACGTACGGCCAGGCCGTGCTAAGCCAGTGGTGCTCGTTAGAGCGAATCTGGTCATTCACGTTGTCAAGGTCCTGACTTTTGGCGGGGGAGCGAAATAAAACAAAATTTGGGCGCATAGACCATTCACGTTGTCAAGGGCCTCGCCACACCACTCTCGAAATGTGAAAAAGACAAAAATGTGGCAGGTCCACTGGCCAGATTCTAGCGGAAAGTTCATTCTCATTTTGCACATTTCGAGAGTGGTGTGGCGATGCCCTCAGACCGCACCCTTGACACGCCCCCAACATTTGGACAATTCGAGGGAAGGAATTTGCGGGGGGAAATCCACTGCCATTACCCAGCTTCGGTTAGGCCAACGCCAATGAAAAACAAAACCAACTGTAGAGGAAACAACCAAGCTGAAGGCAAATCCAACAAGGGGAGAGCCTCATGGGCACTGATCCATTCTCTGACTTCTTTTGGTCGGAGAAAAGGAAAACAGCTCTAGTGGAATTGGAGAAGCTAGAAATCCCAAAAGGGAAAAACGGATCTCGAAAAAACTCGAAAAAGCTGCATGAAGCACGTTGCGTTGCGCTAGCAGGAATAGCGGCGGTGGCAGGGCCGCAGGAAGTTACCGGTCCCTGCCCTCGCGTCAGGGGCGAAGGGGATTGGTTTCGTCTTCGTCAGTTTCAAGGTCTCCCTGTAGGAAGGGTGGTTTCTGGACTAGATCCAGAGGGGAAGGAAGGGTTGACTCTGTCAACAGTAGGGGGAGAAGACGCGGAGGAGGTCCTCAGGCAGCCTACTACCGTCTGGAGATAGCTTACGAGCGCTCACTCCAGGAGAAGTACTGCTTTGGAAAGAGGATGAGTTTTTCCTAGGGAAGGAGGACATCACAGTGCTGAAGTCGGAACTCCTCTCCAACAAGAGAAGCCTCGAGGAGTGCTGGAAGTGCTGCTGGTGCCGACGTACTAGAGAATGAGAAAGCTGCGACTACAAGTCTCGTCAACAAGTAACAAGCTACATAGAAGATATTTTGCCATCCGGGTGTTACCGGTTGCAACGGGCGCAGTGATTATCCTTGATCCCTTCATTGGCTTGCTGATAATTGTAGGCGGTAAGGGAGGACCGATAGACTGGATGCATGGTGACAAGAAGGCGATATGTGTTAATTTTTTCTTCGGGGTAACCGTTTTCTTACGATAAACTTCGTCGCCTACTCGATTTTTGTCCTCCGGAGTATCAGTTAGGCGGCGTCCTTTCTTCAGCTGCCGAGTCCGAGAGGTATATGGTCCTTTATGGCCGTTGTCTGTAGGAGTTTTCCTGACCTCCAGACATCGGTTTCTCGCACCCTCCCCACCCACCTATGATGCCTACTAAGAGAGAAGCTTCAGTTAAGAGAATCAATATTCCGTTAATTTTGCTTTTTTGGTTAAATTTTAATTTGCTTTGGTATTTCTCTGGGGCTAACATGGCGTCGATGTCTCTCCCCTCCACGGAAACTACCACGATTCCTCCGGTAACACTTTCTTCTCCTCCACTGGACAGTGAAAAGGAAAGGATTCGAGATCTGCTAAGTGTTTGCTTCGTTGATGGGATCCTGCCTCACAGACTTGCTCCAAGTACTGTAACAGTTTGGGAGGATTGTGTGAAAGTGGTTATTAACCCGGATCTAGTCCGCTTGGAAGTCGATTGGTTAAAAGAACATGCGGTGTCTATTTTTTTCGGGAATGAGGCTTCCTCCCTTCCACCCAATGTTAAAAACAGACTCGTCCGCATCTATGAGAATGGATGGGACGCAGTAAAGGAATCTGGTGCCCCCCCGAAAAGGGGAGTATTCAGGAATGAGGGAAGGAACTTGGCCTCGTACGTGGCGTCAGCTAAACAAATAGCTAAATGGATGCTCAGGACGAAAGAGGACAGAGTAGAATTGGATGGAGTTGTCTACTCTGTGTCCTTTCGGCCCTGGATGTCCGAAAAACAGCTGACAGAATGACGAGATGCCATGAGACAACAATTTTTTTGGCTTCGATGCCTGGAAGTCCCGGTGTCGGCAATGGGCCCTCTGAAAGGAATCATTGAGGATGCTTTTGGGGAAGTGATTAGAGTTCACTCACCCTACAAGCACCCCCTATCTCCAGATTTGCGTGACATTCGTTTTGATTTAGTTCCGTCCGCTAAATTAAGGTATCGGAAAAAACTATGCGTTGACTTGGATCTATGAATATTGATGTAGTTTGCGCCTCTACACCCTGGTGCAAGGTGTGTAGGAAATTCTTCCACAAAGACACCGACAAAGACTTCCCTTCGAAAGATAAGAAACGCCCCTCCAAGGGCAAGGACAACAAGGAGGATAAGGGGAAGGAGGAGAAGGAGAAGGAGCATGAAGGAAAGAAGGGGAAAGAGAAGGAAAAAGAGAAGGGAAAGGAGAAGGGAAAGGAGAATGGGAAGGAGAAGGAGAAGGAAGAAGGAAAGGGAAAGGGTGGCAGCGATGAAGAGGCGGTGAAGGTAAGGGAAAAAGGGGACAAGGGAAAGGATGGGAAGGAAGTGGACAAGGGGGAGAAGATACAGGAAAAGGAAAAGGAAAAGGAAAAGGAAGAAGAAAGAAGGGTCTTGGAGGATAAGGAGATGAAGGATAAGGAGGAAAAGGCCGATGGGGATAGAGGGGGGGAAAAGGAGGCCTGGGGAAGTTGAAGGGGCACAAAGATACAAAGGGCAGAAAGAAGAGCTTATGGAAAATAAAGCGTCGTAAGACCGAAGGGAAGAAGGATACCCCCCCCCCCCCGGGGGAAAGAGGAGTGGAGGAAGAAGGACAAGGGGAGAACACAGAGAAGTTATCGAAGACACAGATGGAAGTGGAGGCAGTACAGGTTAAATTGAAAAATAATCCGTCCCATGTGCAACTGATTGACAGTAAGGCCAAGGTCCCAGCACCAGAGGACACCGTTGCTGCTGCTGCTGCTGCAGAGCTATTGGCCAAAGCAGCCGAAGCCTTTGCCGCTGCTGCAGCAGCTGCTACTCCCAATCCATCAAACAGGTCCAAAACCCGGACAGGGAAGCTGAAATTCCCTAATTCGGACGTCCCCCCTCTGGACTCCTCCACCCCATATGTGTTCGGAGATATTCAGAAAAGGACAAGTGGGAACAAGAACCAAAAAGTTCAACATTCCCCAGTTCCTGACCAACCTCCGGTGACACCCCGCTCGGGGAGTGTTGCTCTCACTGTCGATGGCACAGTCCAAGACTCAGCAATTGGCGTGATGGGGGAAAACGCTCCCCGCCTTTCAAAAAAATCGGAAGAATTAGTGGATGACCAGGGGTCTGCCCAGGACATGTTGGAATTCATGGTCCCTGGACTGTTCCAAGAAGGAATAGTCCACTTCGATCCAGCAGTAGATTCGGGGAGAGTTTTTATGCTCAACACGAACAAAAGAGCCAAATCCAACGACAGCATCCCCATTCCGACGATGGAAGGACAAGCGATGGTTGACCCTAGGGAGATACCCGCAATCTTAGCTGTCCCAGTCAAAAAAAGGAAACCCTCCACAAGGACAACTAAGAAAACGCTAATTCAGGCATCCCCCATGTCTACTTTGGGTAAAGGTGACAAATCTGCAGGTCCTAACTTGGAAATTTTCGTTCCTCTGATTTGCTCAGATACCCCCCAAGGTGTAATGGTCCTTACCATGATTGCCCAAGATGAGTCTTTATCCCTTCCTTCTATCACTGTTCAGTCTGCTTTGTCGGATGAACTTCTCATCAAAATGGCATCAGAGCAAGTACTATTCAACCAAGGATCTTGTTTACTCCTGCAGGAGACAAGGATGGGGAGGTACTTAGCGGTGCTGCCAGATAACAACAAGGTGTTAGTGCACATAGCGTTTATGAGCCTCACCTGGGTGTCTGATGGGTATGAGGGATGGACAAAACGGAAGACTCTATGGCACCCCCTGATGGATTTTATTACTAGGAAAACGGACTCATTGGAGAAAATACGGGTGGGGTCAAAACTATCTGCCATGGTCATTGCAGACTAGATTTCCAGTGTCGAGGTCATGGACATACTCATAAGCGATAAATTTTCGAGCACGGTCCGAGCGGCTGGCCAACTGCGTTCCGAGCTCCAAGCTGATAGCCGCATCCAACACCCCGGCGGCGACGTCCCAGCTCATGGTGCTGCCCAGTAGGGTAAGACTAGTGAGCTGGAATGTCAAAGGTCTTGGGGATACAGCAGACAGAAGAAATCACAGCTTTCTGCGTGGTTTTATTCTAAACATGCACAAATGATATGCTTACAGGAAACTAAATTGAATTTGGATAAGATTCAGGAGGCTCGGAACTGGTGACCGGGGCAGCAGATCTGGACTCCAGCAGACGGTTCAAAGGGCGGTGTTGCAATCTTGTTACACAAGGACTTGGACGGCATTATACTAGATTCATATGCAGACCCGGGTGGTCGTTTTGCCTGGGTAAAAATTGAAATGGGGATGGAACACTGGGGAGTCATGTCTTTATATGCTCCTTCATATTATATTGCTAGAACTGAATTTTTTTCTAATTTGTCCGCTTGTCTTCCGGATACCGAGAACTTAGCAATTCTCGGTGACTGGAACACCACCTTGAACCTGGGATTGGATTCTCCCGACCCCTTCCCATTACGATCAGATAGCACACTACTGATGACATTGTTCGAGATCCAAGTCCTCACAGACACTTACCGGATCATGAATCCAGAGGACCATGGATTCACGTGGTACGGTCCCAAGCCGGAACCCAACCTGTCACAGCCCCGTAGAAGACTAGACCTCATTGTGTCCCGCGGGGTTCTGTGGGAGCGTTGCATCCATGCTGATTATTGTGTCTCTGATATCGCTGACCACTACCCAGTTTACATAGATGTGGTCTCTACTGACTTGGTTCAGACCTCCCGTCCCCCTTTCCGGTTAAATACTAGCATTTTGAAAGACCAAGGTATCCCGCAGTGGATAGTCTCTCAAATGCAGGGGTGGTTGGAGGCTAAGGACCTTTTCGACTCAGAGGACCACTGGGCCGATGTGGGTGTGGCTATCATAAGGGAAGCACTTATAGTGTTCTCTCGTGTAAAAGTTGCCAACAGGGTGTGGAAAGAGCAAAAGATTATCAGGCTGGTGGAGGAAGCAGAGGCAAATCTGGGTCAGGACCAGTTTGCAGACTTATTTTGGACTGATAAAAGACTCTCTGCTCTCGCCTCCCTAGAAGCTCTAGAGATACAAAAGCAAACACAGTGGTTGGAATGGCTTGAATTACGAGGCATTGTAGGCTACGATAGAATGCCTAGATTAACTTTTAGATCTCTAATTTTAAGACAGATTAAAACGGTAACTAGGGAACTTATTCACCCTTTTGATCTGAGAAGCCATGCAGCAGTAGACGCTATGGACCTATGTACCTATGCGAGGGACTACTTCCAGGATATAGTATCTACCCGCAGACCTTTTGATAGCCTCGACACAAATCTATAATTAAACTCAGACTTTTGGTCCAGGACAAAAGTCAGCATCTGCATGCAGACTAAGGAGGCGATGGATGCCCCTTTTACGGAAATGGAACTTCACCAAGCGGTGCAACATATGGCGAAGGGCAAATGCCCTGGCATCGATGGCCTTCCAGTTGAGCTTTTTTTCAGTACATGGGTCGCTTTCGCTCCTTTCCTGTGTCAAATTTATAATAAAGCCCTGCATACAGGCGCTCTTCCGAAGACTTTCGTAAGAGGGTTCATAGCGCTCCTCTATAAAAGGGAGATAAAAAAGAAATTCGCAACTACCGCCCAATATCAGTTATGAATGTTGTTTATAAGATATTAGCAAAAGTCATTGCTATGCGCTTGAAATCTGTTCTCCCCCAGCTGGTAAGGTGGGAACAAGGGGCTTTCGTCAGAGGCCGGTCCATATTCGAGAATATCCTTACTGCGATACAGGCCTTGGAAGTGATTGGCGCAGAAAAGCGGGATGTAGCGATCCTCCTCCTAGATATGGAGAAAGCGTACGATAAAGTAGGGTGGGCCTTTGTTTCTACCACGCTGGCTAAGATGGGATTCGGGCCTGGTTTCACCAACTAGGTGCATGCGATGCATGCAAATGATGTCTCCTAAGTCATGGTCGATGGGCATCTTTCTGAGGAATTTTCCCTTACCCGTTCGCTACGGCAAGGGTGCCCCCTAACCCCATTATTATTTGTGTTTCAATTAGAAGTTCTTTTGGACAATATTAGATTTAATGATCAGATAGTTGGACTTAAACTCAACCCCTCCCTTGAGTGGAAAGGGGGAGCTCTCGCAGATGACTTTACAGTCGCCTGCGGAAACTCCCCGGCATCCCTAGGAGAGGTGCGAAGAGTTCTGGATGAGTATTGTGCTCTTTCTGAAGCTTCTATTAATTGGTCCAAGTCCGTTTACATTTTACCTGATATCTTTGAATTAAAGGTTAACTGGGGACTTAGATCGGTTCCGTCAGAAAACTCTGAGAGGTTCTTGGGGGTTTTGGTTTCATTATCGGACTGCTAAAAAACCCAAGACCAACTTTTGTCAGGCAAAGTTTCGGCGAGGATCAATGGCTGGCTACGCAACTATAAGCTCTCTCTATTTGGCAGAGCCATAATGCTGTCAACGGCGGCCTTTTCTATCTTATGGTTTCCCCTCTCGATATGCCTGTTGGGTGCCGATTCATACAAGGAAATTAAATAGGTGGCTGCAAGGTATCTGTGGAAGCCATCAGCTAATGAAGAACAGGGCTACATTAATAAGGTGGCCTGGGAAGCCATCACTAGGCTAAGGGACCAGGGAGGGTTGGGGCTTTTGAATCCTCAGAAGCAAAACTAAGCTTTGCTTGCTAAATGGATTATAAAAGCCTGCTTCGATAATCCCTCCAAATTGTGGATCCGAATAGCAGAGTACATTCTTGGAAAAGAGTGGAATATCTCTGAGCCAAGAGAAGTATGGCAATGTTGCATGATGTCCAGTTTCCTAAACCGAAGAGTTAAATCTAAGATCTGGAAGGGCATTCTGCAGGCCTGGAAACACTTATGCCCTCAGGCGATTATAATACCGGGAACAAAACTGGAAATAGCCAACCAAAATCTGTTTGATAATACCTTGATATGTCTCCCAGTGGGACCCCCTTCTCTGCAACAGGGGGGGAGGGCAACTTTGGCCGAGCCTGGATTGAAAAAGGCGTATCAAGAGTTAAGCACCTCTGGGACGAAGAGACAAAAGACTGGTTTTCATAAGAACAGATTCGCACGCTACTACCTCGACTGAAAAATGTCCCCGAAAATCTGGCTAGACTAAAAGCTGCATTTTCCTCCGAATGGAGCTCCAGACTGAAGGCATCTATGGAATATACCGCTGGAGCCTGGGTTCAACCGGATGACAAGCCTGATCAGTTCTGGAAAGTGGTGGACCCGGAGCTGGCAGGTGAGATGAAAATAGAAGAACGGCGATTAGATCCAACAAAAAAGGAGAAAGGACTCCTACGCCTGATTCAAGAAAGAAATGTGGACACGATAGTGGGCCTGGTGGAGCTTCGGGTTTGCCCCTATAAAAAACAGATATTATATATAGGGAAAGGGGATCACTTTACGGTAGAACCCCTTCTCTATGTATGGGGTGGGCAACCCAGGGGCTCCCTGATGGATGAACCCACCCCCCTTTGTTGGTATAAGACAAAGGTGGGGATCAAATGGCTGCAATCCAAATCAGAGCTCACGCCGCTTCGCCTAGC